AAGGTATTTGTACTGCAGCACTAACATGTACACTCCTAGATTATTTACTAGTGACAGCTTATTATATCTTTTTCATGATGGGACTTAAAGCGCAACATGACAAGGTCCCATCTGCTGTTATTTTCATTTGCATTACATTGAAAGAAGATAGCTGCTTAGCGTGTGTCTCTCTTGAACGAGACAGACACTCGGACCACCTCTGATTAAGTCATAGGGTCTTTCACCATGAGGACTTAAATGAAACCATAAAGAGAAAGGAATCTATCACACAATGCAAGTACTGTTGCACATAGTCGTTAAACCTTATGGTGGCAATGCCTATTTACTTGGGATTAAGTTCCTTGGCCATTTTATGGTTGTAAGAGGCAGAAAATCTTTTGTTACAGACTAATTAAAAATCTAGCTAGACATAGCATAAAAGTAACATGAAGATGGGCTAGTTTACCACTGTTCGAAGAGGGTGGTGAGGAAGGGGAACACAGGGATGACATTTAAAAACAAACAAACAAAAAACTGAATGTTAACGTGTCAAGCTGACCTGTGAGTTCGGTGTTCCTGAGCAACCTTTTGAGTCAGCTCCTCCAGGACAGCTTCATCCTGGGTCCAGTCCTGTAAGAGTATGAAGGAGCTTCAAAGACCCATTATCCAAAAAGACAGACAACAAAATGCAAGACAAATTATGATGGTACGTGTTCTGGTGTTGTTTCCTGTTCATACTCTTGCAGATAGCTATACTGAGAGAACCTAGCACCAACTGCAATGAAAAGCCAGTGCACATGCTTGACCACAGGGTGCTTAAAACTTGCAAGAAAACCATGAGGGTCTGTTTGTTTGTTTGTTGGAGGAAGGGGGACACAGAGGGGGTGGACACTTTTCCCAAATACACAGCAGTACACACAGAGCATGGATAAGGGATTTTTTTTTCCTGGATAAGGGTCAAACAAGCCTTTAAAAATACTTGGAAGGCTAAAAATGAATGCACACCTTTCAAATCAGCCAAAAACAATGCAAATAAAATTAGCATAGACATACACCAAACAAAATGCAGTTACGGGTCTTTGCTGTCCAGCAAACTGCCGGTACTTCCTTCCATGTGTTAAAAGAAATAAAAAACTTCAATATTCCTTTAAATATGTAACGAAATTCCTTTTATGTTTTCAACACATTTCTGAGCAGAAATTCCTATCTTTCACAGATTTAGTAATGTGGTGGAAATAATTCTGAAATAATCAGGAACAAGTTAATAAAGGAAGTCTGGTCATAAATTCCACGCAAAAAAAAAAAAAAGTTGAAAAACTTACTAGTAAAACCTCAAAGTTCTTATTTTATTTAAAAAGAAGCCTTAACGCTGCATGTATTGTACTTAAATACACTGCCTGCTTCTTGCTCAGTGGGGCCCTCCCTCTGATATTTGCTTCTGCCACAAAAAAATGTGAAAGTGGTAGCGTGCTAATGAAAAATGTCATAGTACATGCCTCTACACAGCTACACACCTGTGGGGTGTACTGTGTACATAACTTTGTTCTTTTCACTGCTGAAGAAATGCCATTTGACACACATTGTAGCCTCACAAGATCAAACACTACAAATGTAGCTGCCCCTCCCTCACCAGCTCACTTCACTAATGAATTTATAGCAACATTCTCGTTGGAGGCTCTTTCTATGCCTGAGATTCATTCAAATCCTCCCACTTGCTTTAGGACTAGTTTATATCTGCAGCAATTAGCAACTGTCACAGTACTTGCAGTGAAAAATTACTATTACGTTATACAAGTAATAGTGCCTAGAGGACCAGCTGATTTAAGCATAGAGTCCTGAAGACTGTAGGAAGCTGATACTTTGCAGATCTTGCTAAATTCAGCAGTAGTAGCATAGGTCCAAAACAGAAGAGAGGCAACTGTGACACAACAAAGGACAGCTGACCCCAAAATGGGATATGTATATTGAAGGGACTTTGCAAAAAGGCACTAAACTTGCAAAGTGACATCCTGACTACACATTTCTCTGTCCATATTGCAGCCATCATCTTTCCCACTTAGGCTATAATATGTCACTTGATAAGCTATCAACTATATGCAAAATCAATCAATTACCTAGTAATAAATAAAGAAGACCTAACAAAGAAAGCCCCCTCCACCAGTCTGGCTAGCAGAAGTTCCTTAGTGGAAAGACAATACCAAAACCATGTTCTAGGTATGCAAAGCACACTCATATTGCTACGTACTCGTTAATCACTCTTCTTCCTGCTGGATTTCACTTTCAGGTGGTGTTGAACTCTCTGTCTAACAGCCCAAAATTGCACTTTCATTTCCCTGCGCAACAATCACCTTTTTGAAGTTTAGAATACACTTCCAGCTTACAGAAGGCTACAGTTCCTATATAGCCGAAAAATCAAGGTAATTGGGATGAGCTGCTTCCGGAAGTGCCTTTCTCAGACATTCAAGTTACAATGAATCCCTTCTTGGAGATGCCTCTGCCTCCCTGCTAGCTGTAGGGAGAAACCAGATGTCTAACTTTTCAGAAAGGGGAACCCCACTCCACTTCCAAATTTTGCTTCCACTCTGAAAGAATTTCAAGTTCTTTTACATTTTATGAAGCTTACGCTCATGCTCTGTGCTGCTGGAGTTGTTAGTCAGAGATAAAGCCAGCCCTAAACTCAGCAGTTTTTTGCAGTAAACTATTCTCCCAGAGGGGCTCAATGTCATGGGTTGCAAGCGTCTGGCATCTATCACCACGGTCTAATGTAATCAGTGACCTAAAACACTTCCCTCAGTGTTCATATTATTTGCTAGTTTCCAATTTAAATTTCAAATAATAAGTTTACAGCACAGTCCCTGTAGGGCATTTTCAGACCTCCTGATTCATGCTTTATTTCAGTCTAACAGTCAATTGATTTAAGTTCGCATTCTCTTGAGCAAAGTCTGGATGACTTATCCTGTGATAAAACATTTCCTACATCAGCTGTCCACATACCCCTTGGTTATGCGGTATTACTAATACTGCAGTACTGCTGATATACACCCTTCTAAATAAAACGCAAATTCTTAGTTGATTCAATTAAGTACCTTTCTTTTGTTGACATCTATTCCTAGCAGAGGCTTAACAAGGACTGAAAAAGGGTTAAATCTTCACAGCATGTATTAGCTCAGTTACAATCAAATACATCACAGTTTTGGGGAAGCAAAGTTTATTTCAGCCGTTAACAGTACTCTATTATCAATAAAGCCATCTCTGAGGCATGGAGGAATTATTCATAAAAGACCACAAAAGAAGGGGAAAAGTAACTCACCATAGGAAACAAGACATATTCTCGGAGGAAGTCATGAGATTCAAACTGATTATAGTCTCCAAAATCCGCTGGAAAAAAACAACACAACTATTATTTTAGCACTTTCTGCACATGTTAAGACCTCACTCAGCCTTTGCACAGATGCTTGATATCAAGTGGGTGACTTCCTTCTGAAGTCACAACCTAGAGCAAAGCTTTTAACATGGAGGTCTGAAAATAACAGTGTTATTACTAGCAACCAAATAACAGGCAACAAGTAATTTCTCTCTTTTGTTCCTTTATTTTACAGCCATCTGCAATACTTTAAACTATTAGGGATGCAAGAGCTGCTTTTCTGTGGCCTTCATGAACTAGTATCACCATCTAACAAGCCTAGGGTTGCCCAGATGGTGCACACTTGTGCTTCTCCAACACTCCCAGCTCTGACCCGGCAAAAAAATTTTAATCTACTTCTGCTACAATTCAACACAATTGTATGACAGACACTTAATTTTACAGCCTAGGAGGCTGAAATCCACTGGCCAATTCTATTAAAAATGAATTGTCAATAAACAGCACAATTTAAATAGATGTCTTATCTTTATCCACCACTATAACAGCCCACTGAGTCATTTTCCTTTAATTGACTGGGCTTTCACACCTTTCTACTTGCCTCTTCTCCTTCTATATCTCTTTAGGAGCTACTCATCTGCATGCTCACTTTCACTCATAAAATGGGCTGAGGATTCTTGTCTAAACGTCCTTGTACAGAGTTTGAAAATGCTTCCTAAAGGCTAAACTACTTTAAAAACAAAACAAAGCCTATATTTATCTATCTGTTAAATACACAACAGCTTATATCAAAAGGATATCTTGCCGGGAGGTTTTTATTTTATTTTAATTGAACTGCATCAAACGCCATCTACAAGATTCTCATATTATAGAAGCTGGAAATCCCCATCATAAATCATACTAGCTAAACATTCTTTCAAAGCTTCTAGACAACTGCACACATTGCAGGATGCCAAAAATGCAGTTTCATTTTGTTTTCACCTCGGAGTTATGTTTTAACATAAAGAAATCAGAATGAACATGAAACAGAGTCTGCAGCTTAAAAGAAATAAGTATTTCAAATATTCTTGGTTGCATCCCAAGTAAAGGACAAAGAGTAATACAAGGTCATAAATAAAGCAAACAAGATTAGGTGAAGCATTTTGATGCAACAGTCTTTGAAAGATAACAGATTATGTAGAAAATTCACAATAAAACTGATTATTGCAAACTGCTTACGGTGAGACTGACTAGCTCCCAAAGCCGGCAAAAAGCTCCAGAGATAAGAGACCAGTGTAACAGATTCAGTATCTATTTGCAGTAACTTGCATACTGGAAAAACTTCATTGACTCAAATTCAGTAAGGACACATCCTTTCCTTTTTTCATAAAACATTTCAAGACTTGACAGGAGACATTTTTACTTCAATTTGTATCCAAAAAATAAGACACTACAATAGAACTTCCATTGCCCTAAGAAAGATCATATTAACATTGCTTTTAATTACAATTAGCATTTCACTAATATTACTTGTAAAATATCTTGATCCGTAATATCTTGTAAAATATTACTATTTTATATTACTATTTTACAAGATAATTTCAGAGAACTTAAAAACGTGATTGCTGGTACCTCTCTAGAGTACCGTGAGGGAAGCTCGTGCCACCAGTGCCTAATGACCTGGGTTTCAACCTGATGAGTACCTACTGTTCCCCTCAATGTCAGAAATAGGAAGATGTTTAACTCCTCTGAAAATCCATTCTTTAAGACAGCTGTAAAGAATCTTATATATTACCAAAGGCAGTCAGAAATAGAATATCATCCTTACAAACAATTCCCTCTTGCAACTGCTAGACTTGGTCAAAATGGAGAAGGATGTTTTAGAAAGTCACAAATGAAGTCCAAAAAAGTTTCATATTGACAACAAAGCACTCCACAAATCAGAGAAGCCAGGACTGAAGCACTGCATTTTAGAATCAGATTCTCCCATTTAAAAACATTACTAGGACAGGCTATACCACAGAATCTTAAATTTTCAAGGATCAGAACTACATGGTCCTTATTATATGTATACTCCTTTTGCCCTCTCCCCCCTGCCATCAGAAGGCATGTCCAGCGCATGATAGTTGAAATTCTGCCTTAAGCTCTCATAGTCATGGATGCACTGAAATACACTTTCTTCAAATAGAGAGCTTCCTCTTCTGTCCATATACATTATGCAATCTCACTTTTATTGGTGTCCTAAGGATGCTCAAAATAAAAATCACACTGTTAGAACTAGTTTATTATTAATTTATAACTCACATAACAACTACAGTCATGTGTTCTTCCTATACTTCAGATAGCAATATAGAGCAAAATGAGTTTTTAATTAAAGGTAAAATTAAAGCTGCTGCTATACTCTTTGATGTAATTCCATTTCAAACTAGAGAACGTGAAGTAAATTCTTTACTAAAAAGTGTTCCATAGCTGAAGTTGGAAGAAATGGAGCTTTGTTCAGATTCAGTAACAAATCAATTTTGCAAACGGCAACGTTGAACACTATGATGCAGTCCATCATTCCCCTCCTGAGGGTGCAAGTCATTCAGCAATGACAGTCCTTTTTTAAACCAATAGGAAACTTAACTGTTGTGAACAGGGGTCATGTGCGGCCTTAACTAGTGCCCAGTGAACATCTGGATCAAACCAAAAAAAAAGGAAAAGTTGAAAACAGGCTATAAGGTCACATCACATTACCTTGCACTGCCAAACCAGCTAGCCGAATTCCCTGCTCCAGCGAAGAACGTAATCGGCCATCAAGAACATTCTTCTTCACTTGTAGGTAATACTGATACCTACAAACAAGAAAAGAGAACAAATTACAAAGTCTTGTAATTACAAAGTCTTGCTTGCCTGTTTTCCACAGAACAAGAGACTGTTGAAAGTAAGAAAAATTCACCATAAACACATCATGTCATTAAACAGCAGTCCATGCCTGAAGTTAGAAGTTCCACATCATCTGCCAGGCACACGGACATCACAATGAGATTGCCATGCGGACAACGTTTCCAGGTGTACAAAAAGGAAAATAAAAAGTTCTAGTTTGTATTCCCAAGACCATATAGAAAAGTAATATCTGCTGGGATTACCTCTTCCATAAATCCTGCAGGGGTTACCATGCATTCTCCAATACAGAAAGAGACTGTTCCACATTTCTTCTATGGTTTTTGCTCCAGGGTCACCATTTTGATAAGAAATGGAATTTTAGCAAAATACTTTGGCCGACTGATTTAACTTGAGCTGGGGACCATAAAGAAATTCTTTATATTGGCATCCCTTATCCATAAGGATGACTTAGACCCACAAATCAAACAAAAGTAACTAATAGTACTATGCACCTGCTGATCTCCAGAAACTGATCACAAGGGTGAACTATGCTTGGCTGAAACCACAGTAACAGAAACTACACATTTCACCTTGCACTTCTAGCAGAGTAACCGAGGACAAACAAGAAGCTTTCCACAGAAGTTTTACAAGTTACAGTGTCCCCAGCCTTGCAACCCTCCCATCCGCTGACCTGCGTTAGGCACACAGCACAGGTGGCTGAAGCAGCAGGGATATGGACCAATCCCTCCGACATTATCAGGCTAAAGTCCAACAGAGACAGCTTCGTCACTAGGCCACAACGTTTTATTCTGCAGGCACCAACGTGTGTTCCCTTGAGCTAGCTGGCGGACATGGGTGGTAAAATCAACAGGGGACAAGACAGGCTGAAGGAATTACAGCCACCACTGCAAGATCACCATATCAGTCACTGATGTGCCAATAATCAAATACAGTTGAGTTACAACTTAATGATCCAGTGTCCAGCAGCTCAAACTTTGGGTGCACACATACGTAACCCATCACAACAGACACGAAAAACAGTTTCTTCCTCAGCTGATATGCAAAAACTCATCAAGTCTGAGCCCAAAGATATTGTACCAGTGTAGCCACAGCTCGTGTGTGCCCTCACAGCCTCCCGCGTCCAACCTCCAGACCTACCAATAGTAAAAGATGGGTCTGGGTGACCGAAGCTAAGAAAAACTAAATGCCAAGAAACAAAGAACAGGAGTTTCTCAGGCTATGACCAGACACGTCAGTGTGGTTGCAGCTGAGTCAGGTTATGAGGTTACTGCTTCAGCTCCTCAGCACTGCTTCCTGACAGAGGCCACTGCTTCCTCCGTGCGGCGCGCCTGCTCATCCCCTCACACAAAGGGCATCCCCTCAAAGCAGCATGGATTTAAAAAATAAAAATAATTGCTTGAGCTAAACCAGATCATTCTGACAGAACTGGGTTAGAAACGAACCATATAGAAGCGTGCCAGCCGGTCTGAAAGACTGCATCCTCCACAAGGAGGACAGTGAAGAGCAGTCAGGAAAAGACTGGGGGCAGTAAACTCTTAGCTGGGCTCAGCTGCAGCCAGCACACCACATCTTGGCCTTAACCTTGAACCTTTGGGATTAGCAAATAAGCAGTTCTTGTCCTGTTCTAATGATTTCAGACAGGTGCGTGTCGGTTCTTTTTTAATTGCCTTCCTAGGCAATTAACAAGGCAATTAACCTTTCCTTCTTGGAAGAGAACCACAGTAACAACATACATGCTACAAGGATTTCACTGTAGAACAAATATATATTCTATACTATACAGTCTATAGTCTATGCTATAGTCTACATTCTATACTACACTATATAGTCAAACTATACTCACAAATGTTACCATTTAACTCTGCGGAGATAGTAGAAACGACCTGGGTGCTTCAAAAGAAAAAAAAAAAAACCCAAGTCATTCTTTGAGAGATGTTAATCAAAATAAGGCATTTTACATTTCTCTTCAGTTAAGTCTGCAATGTGAGATGCAAGAACTTGCCACTAGACAGCACCAATGCTCTGACCAGACCTGTACTCGCAAGGTAACAGCACCGGCTACAAGCATTTTCAGCGCAGAGGAATCTTCTCAGTGGAAGGCCTGTGTACATGATCCTTAACATCTCAGCCGTTCCCTTTTGAGCTGACAACTTTCACGTGCACTTAAACGGCAATTGTTGGGCTAGCTAGCTTCAGGTTGGGAACCTAGCTTTAGGTTCCTTCTCCCTCTATCCCCTCAAAAAGAGCAAACACAGAACATTTTCAAATAGGAAAAAAATCTCATTTAAAATGTTTACATTTAGCTTTCACATAGACTAACAAAGATTAAAAAACATCAGTGGGAACTGAAATTTGACTGAAGGGAAGGGAGTGTAAAAAGCATACTGCTTCTCAGTTTGATCCTTGTGCTTCAGCCCCAGGTTTCACACTTGCTTGATCCAGGGGACAAAATCGGCTTCTTTCCAGTTCTTTGCAATGAACTAAATGAACTAAATCCCAATTCTGCAAGTATTCATGCTTTCGTACAAGCTTCACATAAGCTGCTTTGTCAAATATGCAGGTGAATAAGTGCTTATCGAATCTTGTTTTAGAGACGTGTAATGCCAAAGCAGGCTGTTTATTTATGTCACTGTAGTATATATATATACACAAGTTGCAAGAAAAGTAACACCCTCATCTGCCATAAAGCTCCATATAGTTAGAGCTACTGCTAAAATGAACACTAAGTTAATAGATTACACAAAAGTCAAAAATGTAAAATCTTAAAGTGAAATCCTAGCTGTATTGAAATCAAGAGTGCCATCAGCTTTAGAGGAGCTGGGATTTCAACTACAGTGCCCACAAAAACACAGATGAACCACAGTGAGGATTATCTATATAAGCATCAATCAAATATAGGACATTAATGCAGTTACTGTAATATCAAATATTATGATTAAAGCTTTCAAAAGGAATCGTGATGTTGGAGATCTCCAATTTTAGTTTGCCGATACTTCAGAAAATCTGTTTTTAAGAAAGCATTCAGCACCCACTGTATGAAAAAGCCGCTCATTTAAAGGTGTTTTACCATGAAGGTCAGAAACAGGTCACTTACAAATCTTAGCAGGAATACTCTACAGTATTACAGTACAGCATTGCATCTACTAACACTGCAGCAGATTAAAAGTATCGGATTTATTGTATATTATGGATCACTGTGCGAAGAGAGTTTGAGAGATGTATACAACTTGTTCTGTCATATTAACTAGTGTTTCCAACAGAGAACACCTGTGGAGAAAATTGGCAGCTTTCAGAGGCAAGCGCATGGAAAAACAATCACCGAGTATGCTTCTGACATCTTTTTTCCACGGAAGTGGCAAGATAAATTGAAGACGACCGAGACAGAAAACCATGGTTAGCGATAGCTCCATCCTTACTCTTGGATGGAGAGTGACTGGTCACCCACAGAAGGCGTCCCCTGGCATATCCTTTAATTATGGCAGCATAAGGCACAAACTAGAATCATGAATTCCACTTTCCAGGAAGAGGAGGAGCTGGGTTGTCACTGAACAACCTGGACAAAACTCTGCTAAAGGCTGTAACAGCTCTATGAGCCACGGATTCATAGCTGAGTTGTGCTGCAAAACTGTGGTTAGGCTTTCTGCCCGTTCAACAGATAGAACGGGAATTGGCCCATATTCCATCAAGGATTTGAGGCTCCTCTGTCTGAAATTATGTTAAATGTTGTTATTATGTCACGAGCTGAGATTACACTTTGTCTGTTTGGATTGCAGAAGCGTATCTATAATTTGAAGGAAATCAAACATTTTAAAAACGATTCATCTGTAGATTCACTGAGGGAAACTGTTCCAAAACAGCAAATAAAAACATGCATTTCATAAGCCTCCGATTTGGTGGTTTATCTGGGAAAGCAAATGGAAAATGAACAAAAGAGAAGTCTGCAAACTGTACCCCAAAATAATAAAAGCCAAGAAATTCAAAATTAAGACTCACAAAGCTTTATTCAGAGGGCCAATATGGCATACTAGGGGAGTGCATGGCAGAAGACAGACCACACCACAGGCAAGCGGGCTGAGAGCTGAAATCTAGCCTTGTTTCTCTTGTGCTCATTTTGGGTTACAATTTTTTAGCAGTCTTTATGTGTTCAATATAAAAAAGGCTACTACAGTTTGCCAGCCTGTAGCTAATTCCAAGGGGAATGGGAGTGGACAACAAGTCTGAACAAAGCCATAATTAGAAGGATATCATTTCCCACAACTCTATTTAGCCAACACAGAAAACATTAAGCGTATATTTGCATCTATTGCATCAAAAAGCATACTTTATAAAGTAAAGAAGCTGCAACTGGACAGTTATAAGACAACATCTGAACTCTGGTATATTTTAGCGATCAATATTGCATCAGAGAAAAAACCCCAAATGGTACTAGGAGACAGAAGATAAGGGTATTTGTTTAAAATTTAATTATAAGACCTATACTCAGACATAGCTATAGTTGTGTAAATCTAGAGTAACTCCATTTGCCCATACAGTTTGTATAGATGTCATTGAATTCACTGTACTCTTCAATCATCACTTTTTATCTGTTGTATAATCTCTACTGCTGTTTTAAATATACAGAAGATAATTCAGTTGACTTCACTGGTTTGCCTTCTCTTGGGCAGCAAATTTTTCAAATATTACAACCCACGCAGAACCTGGCTTGAACAACATTGGAAGTGACAGTCTACAAAAGCAAGAGCATGGAGTTAGTTCAGCAGAGTGCACTGCATCTTCGCACTTTTCCTACTACAGACTTCCATAGAGAGCCGCAAGGCAAGCACCTTATTAATAATTATTCATAATATTATCATACCTGACAGCCCTAAAAATCAAGCAGCACCCAACTCTGCTAGGAAATGTACAAGAACAGAACACAAAAAGCTTATTTCCTCAGGGATTTACAATC